AATGAAAAAATGGGCATAGGATTTGAATAAATATTTCTTCAGAGAAGATGTACAGATGGCTAATAAGCACATGAATTAGCTACCAGAGAAATGCAAATCAAAACCACAGTGTGATATTACTTCACACCCACTAGGTTGTAATAAAAAAAGACATATAATAACAAGTGTGGCAAGGATGTTCAGAAATTAAAACCCTCACACACAGTGCCAGGATTTTTAAATGATGCAGTTAATTTGGAAAATAGCCTGATAGTTCCCCAAATAGTTAAACACAGAGTTCCCCATATGAGTCAGCAATTCTAACCCTAGATATATACCCAAAATGACAGAAAACATGCCAACAAAAACTTGTACATACCCCATATGAGTCAGCAATTCTAACCCTAGATATATACCCAAAATGACAGAAAACATGCCAACAAAAACTTGTACATATTTATAGCAGCTTTATTTACAATGGCCAGAAAGTGGAAACATGTTCATCAACTGATGAATGCTTAAACAAATTGTGCTCTAGATCTGCACAATGGAGTTTTAGTCATCAAGAAAAAGGACTGGAATACTGATACCTGCTGTAACATGGCTGAAACTTGAAAACATTATGCTAAGGGAAATAAGCCAATTACTAGGCAGGCATATATTGTTTGATTCCCTTCATATATAGTGTTTAGAATAGGCAAATCTGTGGACTCAGTAGGTAGGATTTGGATTTGTGGGAGTGGAGAGTGGGCTGATGGGTATGAGGTTTCTTTTTGGAGAAATGGAAATGTTTTATAATTGATTATAGTGATGGTTGCTCAACTATGTGAATATACTTAAAACCATTGAACCATACACTTTGTATTATGTGCAAATTATATCTCAATAAAGCTGTTATTAAAAAAATACAAATTAACAAGAAGCACATGAAAAAATCTAATTCATTGGACATCAAATAAAAAAGCTTAAATTACTATGAGATACCATAATCTCTCATCAAATTTTGGAAATTAAAAGCATGTGTGTGTGTATTAAATGAGATCTACTTATAGAACTATTCAAGGCAATTTACCTCTACCATGTATATTTTGGTTTTCTTCTCAAGCTTAGAATATCCTAAAAGATGTTTTGTGAGTCAAAAGCATGGAGAACTCAAGTTAAAGATCTCTTAATTCATGTTTTTTTCCCAAAGAAATAAAAAATCTTTGCAGTTTTACTCAAGTGTACAAATTAAGGAAACATAACTGGGTTTGATGAAAAGTGATCAACTCTTTTCTTCTCACCCCTACTGGACGACACCACATGCTTGCATGGCAAATTAAGTAACAGCAGCCACTCCCCATGGACAGAAGGAGCCTGGTGTGCTCCAAATGTGTCGTGAGACACTTGTGAGTGCTTCTTCTGGGGAAAACACAGCTGTCTGTGCGCCAGCCTGTAGTCTCTATAGATTAGTTTCAATCTAAACATTCTTTCACTGCAGTTGGAAATGGAGAACTTTCCATATCAAATTCAAGAGCTTCCACACACTATAGTAGAGTGAGAACCATTTTGCAAAATGAGCTGGATGCCACATAGATAAAATAAGCTCTGAACCAACTCCACACACAATGATTTCAGACAAATCTGAGGTTCCACAGTGAGTCTCATTTTCAGTTAAACTCTTATCCTATTAAGTCAATGTGAGTGATTCCATAGTTGTATTCTCTTCTAAAAAGTTTAGAAGTAAGGCCTTGGCTTGGTGGCTGGTAAGCTTATATATAATCCAGAAAAGGCAAACACTTGGTGTGTGTTGACATGCCACCCTCACTTGTATGAATGTAGCTGCTGCTTATTTTTCTAGATGATACTCTTTCCTACTGAATCTGAACATGGGCCAAGACACTTTCTCAACACAGCACCACAAGCATTCATTACTAATCAACCAATGAATTAATTCTATTTGCTGATATGGGCTACTCCGTGTTGAAACGTGTGTGTGTGTTTTACCCAACTACTTAGAAAATCTTTGAAGTATATTTATCTTTATGAAAGGTGTGGCTTTCTGAGTATAGGAATTATAAGTAGAAACAGACCAATTGTCACTAAATACAGGGGAACATTTCTCATCTACTTTACCTTAAGTGCCTGAAGTGGTTACTGTTGACTCCTTGGTCTTTACAAATACAAATACCAGGCAGAATTTTTAGCATTATAAGCATTTTTTGGGAAATACGTTGGCAAGTACTATTATATTTTAAAAATATACCTTACATATATCAACCCATTTAGTGCTCTGCAAACCCTATTACAATATCTGGGTTATAGTTGAGGAAACTGAGGCACAGAGCTCTTAAATAACTTTACTATTGAAGCTGGAAAGGATTTGTATCTTGATTAAGGTTTACTTGCAATGCTCTTCCTGCATGTCCCCACACTCCCTCTCCCCATGATACAAGGTTTGGTCTAAGTTAAGAAACTAGTGTTAAAGAAACGCTCCTAACCACATTCCTTCTTTTGATACAATGAACAAAACTTCTTTTCTAAAAAACAATAGCTAAAGACAAAACCTGACAGGTCTTTTGTCTCAACTCTTCTTGCAAAGGATCCTTTCTTTATAAGTGCCAACCCTATTTTCTTTGTCTCAACAGCATTTTAGAACAATTCATAACTTATAGCAACTGTGAATTCCATAGTTGACTTGTGTGTTATGTTCACAAATCTTCAAATTTGTCAAGCTTTGTAAGTTCACAGGGGTGCAAATAAAAAAAAATAATATTGACAAACATTGGTAATTTCAAAGCATAGCATCAAACCCAAAAGTTTCTTCACCCAAATAGATAATTATTTGTATAAATTCAAAGGTGGAACCTAATAAGATAGTTTCAAAAACTGTTAAAACTGAGAGTATACCTCTTGTCAGCAGAGCAAAATAGAATCATTTATCAAAATGGAGTTTCAACTAAATTAGAAATGGGATGAAAATTCTCAAACAAAATAGAAATTTTCAATTTCCTCTATCAAGTAAAATCTAAATATACTTAACTGGCTACTTCCTCTATACATTCTCAATTAGAGTAATTATCAGTATCTGATTAAATATGGGAAATAATGAGAATGGTATTCCCAAAGTCCTAATCTATTTAGGCATAAGAAAGTTAAGAGGCTCGCATAGTTATTCCAGTTTTATAATGATGACCTTCATTAGTGTTTCTCAGAGAAACAAAATAACATATTCCACATTATTCTGTGTGTTACTCCCTTACCATTAACAATTCTAAAATATTCAGTACCCATCGATAACCACTTAATATTTTATCATTAGATTTTTCTGTGTTCTTGGCACATTATCAATAATGAAACTAAGAAATTTCCATCTGGTATTTTTGATGCTTCAGGGTATTCTAAACAATAGATCTGAAAAAAAAAAAATCTCACCAGCATCCTGATTACATAAAAGGATTAAGATCCATGGAAAGACAGCAATGGAATAGTTTCTCATCTTAAAGATTTCTTAAACAGGCTCATTTTTCCCATGGAAAGATTTCAAAAACCATGGTGGCTCATGATAACCCAAGAACTTTTTGGTTATTATTGTTGGAGGAGGTGGTAGTTTTAAAAATAGATTTATTGAGGTAAAACTGATGTACACTTAACTGCATATATTTATGGTGAACAGTTTGATGAGTTTTGACACATGTATATACCTTTGAAGCTATCACCATAAATCAAATAATGAATATGTCCATCATAATTTTTGAAAGTATCAATAATATAACATTTTGATCATTAGCTCCCAGAGGCATCTGGCACTAGTAGGCCTTATTTATTGTCTATTGAGTGAACACATTTTCTCACTGAACATCTTTCGAATATTAGTGTACTAGAGGAACAAAGGGTTGCACAGGATTTAGGCTTTTAAGTTTCAGCATCTTTGAGGAGCTTCTGAATGGTGCTGAAGTTGGCCTTTGAGTATGTAAATCGACAGGTATGAAATCCTCAGTATGCCCATGGCGGCTTAGCAGTCCCACAGAGCTCTCCATGCCCCACCATTTCTATAGATGGAGTGGCGGATAAGCCTTCCTCCACCCTCTGTGTTGGACTGAACCTTATTTTTTTTTCCAACCACATCGATTTATCGACAATGTAAGGAACCAATAAAGCACAAGTTTTGTTTGAAAAGATGGGTCTAAATATGAAAATAACACATTATATACCAAGTCACTTCCCTCCTCTGAGTTTCAGTTTATCCCTCAAGTATCTTCCAACTTACGAGAGAGAGCTGTAAAGGGAAGGGGGAAAAGCAGCAGCAAGCCTCCTGAAACGTCCAACTTCTCCGGTCACATAGACTGCGCAATAAGCTGTGCAGGGCTCTGGCTCAGGGTTTCTGAAAGGAAACATAGCTGCTTTTGTCCTGCCTAGTGACATCCTATTTTCCTCAGTGCTGGTAGAGTGCAGTCTGGTAAGCTCTTTTCAGAGGCCCTCCTGAGCTCTTTCCTGTACCCTGTACGGTTTGTAGCCCTGTTCTGGAAACAGTTTGAGGACGCAGCACTTAACCTCGGGCTGCAGATTCCCGGGTCTCCCTCCGCCAACGCCCATCTCCACCCCTCCCGCGCCCACCGCCCCGCCCTTAGCCGATCCCAGTGGCTCTCCAAGCTGTGGCCTTGGGGTCTCCTTGTTAGCCTCGGGTCCCAGGACACCGGTCCCGGCTTAACTTTACGAGTTGCGAGGGCGGCGTGCCTGCTCAGTCACGCTCCCGCTGGGGGCTGCTTCCACCTGCTCATCCTCTCTTTGATTCTTCCCCAGAGGAGAGGAAGCCTCAAGCGGATCTGGCACATCCCTAATCGGGGCCTGCTGCAGGCCGGGGGCTGCCGTGTGCCGAGGAAGCCTCGGGCTAGGCAGGCCATTTTCACCTGCGTAATAACAGGCTCGTGAGCAGCGCGGCAGCGGCGGCTGCGCCGGGCGGGAGGAGGAGCGCGGGCGGCGGCCGCGGCGGGGCGGGGCGGGGCGGGAGCGAGGGCAAGGGCGGGGCGGAGCCGGGGCGGGCGAGCGGCGGGCGGCAGGAGGCCGGAGCGGTAGCGGCGGCGGCGGTGCTGACACCGCAGCCTCCGGCTCGAGTCCCGGCGGCGGCAGCAGCAGGGAGCGCCCGCCCGCCGCGCATCGCACCTCGGCCCCGCCAATCCGCAGTCGTAGCGCCGGGGCACCGCCAGCCATGGCCGCGCCGCCGGTTCCCCAAGACGAGCTGCTGCCGCCGGCTGGCCCCGGGTCCCGATGGCTCGGGGGCCGGGAAGAGGGAGAGGACGGAACGGTGACACCGAAAGGGGCCAAGCCGGCGCCGCAGACGGGGGAGCCCAGCCGGGGCTTGGGTGCCTGGGCCGGGGAAGCGGCGTCGCGGGACCAGTGCTCGGGCCCCGCCCGGCCGCCGCCCGTTGCTATGGAAACTGCCTCCACAGGTAAGGCGGGCGCGCGCCGCTGCCCCGCAAATGGCGTCCCCTCCCGCAGCTCCCGCTGCACCTCCCCGCGCTCTCTGCCAGGAGCGCCAGCTTCACCAGCCTTCGCCACGGGCGGCCCTAAATACTAGCGGATTGGTGGAAAACAGGAATGTATTTTTTCCCCAAAGGCATGGAGGAAGACAAAATACTATTGGTTCTTTTTTTTTCATGATCGTTATTATTCCGGCTTTAAAAATTGTCCTTAGGCAAACCGCAGCATCCAGGCTGCAGGCGCGCCCGTGTACAAGTTTCTTCCTTCTGCCAAGGGATTTGGGGGCTGCAGGGCCCGATTGACCGGTCGCGACGGTTTTTTGGGGCGTGTTTGCGCGCAGCTTGCGCGCCTGCGACAGGGGACGCGGACAACGAAGCGCCCGGCTGGTCTGCAGCCCTCCGACCCGGCTTGGTCCGGGACAGGGACGTGGCTGTAACTCTTCCTCAGGCTTCCCTCCACAGGCCGCCACACCCTACTGCCTCCCATCCCGCCAGCCCCTCTCCCCGCCGGAAACAAATCCCGGAGTGTGTGCGTCTAATCGGGAGGCACGGCGTCCCAACAGCGTTGGAGTTGTGGCAGCCCCCGCCCAGAGCCCTTGGTCCTACTCGGCCCCGATGCACCCATCTCGCAGGGGCACTGAAACTTGGAACCTCTAGAGCGGCCGGCCTGGCTGCGTCGGTAGGGGACTTGGTGGTGACTGGAGGAGGTACAGGTTACCAGCAGTGTGAACCCGTCCGGGCATTTGGAAATTGCTCTGGGCTCGACATCCCTTTGCCTGATTCCCGCCTTCCGCGGATGTCCCGCGGGGCCAGGGGCCCTGGAGCTTCTTGGCCAAAGGATGCAGGAGGCGATCTTTGGGGAGGGGCTGCCGGCCTGAGTAACGCTGTGTTTCCAGGCAGTGGGTTGGAGGGTGCTGTGCTGTGCTGTTCCCAGAGAAAGCTTTGCTGTGGTGGAGCTGTGTAATTTTGGATTTTGGAAATGTAGCCCCGGAGGGTCCGAGGTGATGGGTGCTCCTGGAGAAGGGGAAGGCGGGTGGGACTGGAGCGCGTGCTCTTGGCAGCTGATTTAGAGGAACTCCCTTCTTAAGGCACAGCCTTTCTTAAGGGTCATGTGGAGTGCCTGAGTAGTTTTAACTCTCTTCTTGTACAAAGATTCGAGCTGAGGAAATCAGATTTAGGGAATGCGTTGAACAAAACATAGCAACGTTCTGAAGGGAAGAGAAAAAGTGGGCACCATATAGCAGAAAAAAAAAGCCTCAGAAGCAGAAAACCCCATTTATCATATATTAATTGTTATTTGGGGAGCAGGGATGCGGTATGGGGAAGGCTTTAAGGCTAAGAATGGCTGCCTAGGCTTTCAACTTCATCTAAGTGAACAGAAACAAAACTCTTCCAATTGCAAAGAAGATGGTAAAAGATAACAGACCAAGAAGATAACCTTTCTTGTTGATATACCATTTCCATTCTTTGTTGAGCATAGCTCGTAGTTCAGAACCTTATCCTCGATCATTAAAGTAAATTATTTCTTTATAAACATTGCCCACTTCCCCTTAGTGTCTCTAAGGTTAGGCGAACTAGGGAAAGGTAGCTAAGTGCCCTGTGTTCAGTAACATACTATCCATTAAAATGAGTTGCTGTATATGAAATGCTTAGAACAAGTTCTGTCACAAAGTAGCCATTTGCAATTTTTAACACTATTATTATTATAGATACATTTTACTTTGTTGAATGTGTTAGGAGTTTCCTATCCTAGGCAACAAACATGGTAAAACAAACATGATGATTGTTTGGATGGGAGAAGAATGAAGGAAGAGGAAAGGAGCACATATTTTGTATTTTTATATAGAAAGTTTTTAGTTCATTATGTTATCTTAAGGTATTTTTAATATAGTTGTTGATTGACCTTTTAAAATTGTGTATGTTTCTTAGTAGACTGAATGGACTGCTATAAAGACTCAGATGCTGGAAATAGTGTTTAAATAAATAACTAGATCTTGAAAAATCCAAATAAAATCTGGGCCAGCTGGCTTGTCTGTCATTTTGGCAGTTCTATTGCTATAAACAAAGTCAGCAGGTACATCTTCAAATTTATCAGAGACAAAATCCAGAGTAATCCTGTCTTACTTTTTGAAAGAATGGTGCTCTTTGGGACTCAAACCAAGCTAAGAAGTAACTTAGGCTTTAAGCATGATGCACTGTAAGCAGATTTTGTTTCTTTTTCAGATGGAATTATAAAATATAAGATAGATATTGATGTTTTAAAAACTGTCTTTTAACTCCACCAATCATGCCATCTGGACAGAAATTCTGTTGTTTATTTTTATACATTGATGGTAATTAAAGTTCCTAAAGAAATATTTCCAAAAATATTTCTCAGTAATGTCCTGGAATACATATATGTTTAAACATCATTAAAGCTTTACTATGGAACTCCATTGATACTGTATTTTCAGGTATTCCGATTGCTTCTGTCCCTTTTGTGGATTGGAAATGTTGTTAACAAAAATAATATTTTCTTATAAAGCTACATTTTTTCATGTCTAAAATGGATAAGGGGCATGTGATATGATATATGTTGCCAAGGGAACATTTAATACACCATGTGTAGGCTACAACATGTTAGAGTTGTTAATCATGAATCAGTGCCATCATCTTACAACTTTATACAAAGGATGTTAAGAGCAACTGTTTTGTTTTTTCATGATCAGTTATTTTATTCCTGGAAACTATTCAAAAAGAGAACACAATAACTCAAGGATAGAAGAATGGCCCTTTGTTTAAAGGAAGAATTTAAAATAGAACATTTGAACAAAATTCAATGGTAAGAAGTTAACTCATTGACTGCTTCATGCATGCAAGGCCAAATGAAGAACAGAATGGAAAATGGTCTGGAGAAATTAGTCTAGTATGATTTACTTCAGTAATAATGACTTATAGATAATTAAGTTTAATTTCTAGTTGAGTGCAAAAAGAAAAAAGAGAGATTTCCCCAATTTATTTAGATCATAGTGCTCATAAATTTACATTTTTCAAATGCTGAATGTGATACTCTATTGGAAAAGCTATTCTTAGTCGATTATAATTTAAATAAATTTCAGAATGTTTATATATCCTGTGTTCATTTTGTTTAGTATAATAAATTGTATATGCACATTACCAATTATCTTATAAAATTCATGTGGAGGCTGGATTAACTGTTCACTGGTGGATGTGTTTGATAGATGTGTGCACATTTTTTTTATTTGGAGTCATTCCAAGTAATCCTCTTTAGAAGGTGTAAATTTCAGTCTTCTATTTTCTTTCATCTTTTGAGAAAGCTACAGTTCTATTGAAATGGGAAGGAACACTACCCTTGCTTTAATAGTATTCAACATAACACATAAGCAAGAATAAAAGAGTTCCTAATGCAAATTTAGTTCTCTGGACATAGCCTGTAGTTACAATCAATAACATTTCTGGCAGAAAGTATGGTATATGTCCTTTCATATAGGGAATTCAGATTAGGTTAAATTAACATTCAGAAGCACATACCCTACACATATATTCATAAGTGCATTTTACTGAGGTTTTCTAGGTAACTTCTCTTCATAAACTCACTGTTCCAAGAAACCGAACCTGCTCCAAAAACAGGCCTTCCGGCCTCCTTCTGTTTTTCTGGGCTATTCATCTACTTGTGATTCTGAGGGTTTGGAGAAGAGTTGTGGATTATCTTGTTCATTATACTGTACCCTGGACTGCATGGATTAGAGAAAGTTTTTATTATCTATAAAGTGAGAAACCACTGTGGCTCAATTTAATTTAGTCAACATTTATCGAGTGCCTACTTTCTGTAAGGATCTGTGCTAAACACAGGTCCTTGTTTGCTAGAACATACACCTTTCTGTCTCACATTAGTATTTAGCTTACTTGAACAGTTCCTTGTAAGTCATTTTTCATTTTCCTCATTCCCAAGTCATTGCTGGGAGCTTGACTAGAAGCGCATTAAAATAATCTAACCACATGGCCACAAGGGCATGAGTTAGCTTTCTGAGGTCAACACAGGATGAATAAATATGAGCACAGCTTGTCCAGCCTACACAGATGTGGGGATATAAAAACCTATCTATCATTGATCTATCGTCTACCTAATTCTGTCTTCATAGAAACAACTGTGGCTAAATAGTACTCAAAAATCTTTAGTTAGTTGTGCTTTTACTTTAAAATAAAATTATTTCAGTGGCAACTAAGAGCTTTGAAAAAAGCACTGTACAATATAGAGGGCAATGAAAATAAAAGATATATTTCAGGAACACAAGAATGTTCTCCATGAAAGTTACTGTAAAGAGTGCTCAAAGATGAAAGACAACCAATTTTGTTTAAATAATACTCAAAGGCAAAAAAGAGCAATGAGAAGAGCATGAACTGGAGAGACTTGCTGCTTGTGCAAGATACTCTAATGAGAGTAGATGAAAAATATTCATATTTAATCTGTATTGCTTAAAATGGACCAGGATTCTTAAGTTGGAAAATATAAAACTTACAGAATGAGAGACTGGAAGCTCAGGTAAGTAAATAGAAGGTAAATGTTGTGTCCCTGTCTTGATGACATTGGCTCTGAAGAGCCAACTGCTTTACCTCTCATGGTGAGTATGCTGAGCAGTTTTTTAAAGTCATTCCTAGTATCTTTTGAGAATAAGACTAATGCTAGAAAAGTAGAAATGGGGAAGCAATTTAAAAAAAGGGGGAAATGATGGATTCTTAAAACTTATAAGCCAATATATCAATTGTGATTCCTGGTAGAATATAAGAATATATTATCATGCCAAATATTTATATTTGAAAAGTATAAATATGTTGATCATTAGAAATTTCCATGTGTTCACTAAAAAATAATGCCCATGAAACATAATTTCCTTTTATTTTTTCAGATTCTGAATCATCAACATATATACATTACTTACTGTACCCAGCAACTCTGCAAGCACTCAACT